TTATTTTGAAAATTTCCAAAAAAATGTTTTTTGCTTAAATTTTGAGTGCTGGATCTTTTCTGGGTTTTCTTTCTTGTAAATTATGTTGACATATTTTCAAGAAATTATGTTTTTTAACTAAAAACTAAAGAAAACTAAAAATAATTTTTCAAAAAATTCCACAAAAAATTTCAATTTTTTTTCGCGAAAGAAATCTCATAATCGTGTTTCCTGGGGTCGAAATATACTACCCCTAAAAATTTTTGCACTTATTTAAGACCCACCCTGTATATAAATCACTATCGTTTAACATATAAAACAAATCAGCCAAGCAAAATTGAAAAAGATTTTTCCTCTTGCTTTTTCCATCACTTCCCTCATCAAATGTGATTCGATACACTTTCCAACATTATTCTGTCATAGAAAATAAAATTTAAATAATGTTACACTCCGTTTAAAGAACATAATAACATTATTATTCTTGAGCAGATTCAATAACGAGACGTTTTTTGTTTCATCTCCATGGTTTTCGTGTTCTTTGTTGAGAAAATTAATTATTCTATTAGTTTTTATTCTAGTTTATTGATATTTTTTTAACACATCTTGTTAGGAGAACAAAATATGGAAAATTTATTCCGTAAACTTTCATTTTATGCATTGTCTTCGATACTTTCAATTTTGTATAGAGCTTTAATTGATATAGTATCCACAAAAAATATGCAGCATCAAAAAACTCGATTTTATGTGAAGGCACAAGAAAATGTAAAAGTGAATTTATTATACAGGGTGTTAAATAAATTACGCTTATCGAATGGCTGTGTAATGTAACAAAAATACCTCACGAGCAAAAAAAAAACAGCGTCACAGTAGCCTTTAAAATGGCCATGGACATCAGAAGTATATTATTTCGTATATTTTTCATTTTATTGATTTTATGGAAAGCACTGTTCATTAAAATGTTGTATCCTATGATATAGGGCTTGTTTCTCTCTACAATTTCCTGTCTCACAATGTACCGTTTGTGTCCGGGAAGGGATCATAGTTTCATAGTTGTCGATTTTTGAAAGAAATCAGTAGGTACATGTATATTATTTCGTATATTTTTCATTTTATTGATTTTATGGAAACCACTGTTCAGAAAAATGTTGTATCCTATGTTATAGGGCTTGCTTCTCTCTACAATTTCCTGTCTCACAATGTACCGTTTGTGTCCGGGAAGGGTTCATAGTTTTATAGTTGTCGATTTTCGAAAGAAATCAGTACATGTATATTTTTTCGTATATTTTTCATTTTATTGATTTTATGGAAAGCACTGTTCATTAAAATGTTGTATCATATGTTATAGGGCTTGTTTCTCTCTACAATTTCCTGTCTCACAATGTACCGTTTGTGTCAGGGAAGGGATCATAGTTTCATAGTTGTCGATTTTTGAAAGAAATCAGTAGGTACATGTATATTATTTCGTATATTTTTCATTTTATTGATTTTATAGAAACCACTGTTCAGAAAAATGTTGTATCCTATGTTATAGGGCTTGCTTCTCTCTACAATTTCCTGTCTCACAATGTACCGTTTGTGTCCGGGAAGGGTTCATAGTTTTATAGTTGTCGATTTTCGAAAGAAATCAGTAGGTGCATATTATTTCGTATATTTTTCATTTTATTGATTTTATGGAAACCACTGTTCATTAAAATGTTGTATCCTATGTTATAGGGCTTGCTTCTCTCTACAATTTCCTGTCTCACAATGTACCGTTTGTGTCCGGGAAGGGTTCATAGTTTTATAGTTGTCGATTTTCGAAAGAAATTAGTACGTGCATATTATTTCGTATATTTTTCATTTTATTGATTTTATGGAAAGCACTGTTCATTAAAATGTTGTATCCTATGTTATAGGGCTTGCTTCTCTCTACAATTTCCTGTCTCACAATGTACCGTTTGTGTCCGGGAAGGGTTCATAGTTTTATAGTTGTCGATTTTCGAAAGAAATCAGTAGGTGCATATTATTTCGTATATTTTTCATTTTATTGATTTTATGGAAACCACTGTTCATTAAAATGTTGTATCCTATGTTATAGGGCTTGCTTCTCTCTACAATTTCCTGTCTCACAATGTACCGTTTGTGTCCGGGAAGGGTTCATAGTTTTATAGTTGTCGATTTTCGAAAGAAATCAGTACGTGCATATTATTTCGTATATTTTTCATTTTATTGATTTTATGGAAAGCACTGTTCATTAAAATGTTGTATCCTATGTTATAGGGCTTGTTTCTCTCTACAATTTCCTGTCTCACAATGTACCGTTTGTATCTGGGAAGGGTTTATAGTTTCATAGTTGTCGATTTTCGAAAGAAATCAGTACGTGCATATTATTTCGTATATTTTTCATTTTATTGATTTTATGGAAAGCACTGTTCATTAAAATATTGTATCCTATGTTATAGGGCTTGTTTCTCTCTACAATTTCCTGTCTCACAATGTACCGTTTGTGTCGGGGAAGGGATCATAGTTTCATAGTTGTCGATTTTAGTTTTCATAGTTGTTAGATTTAGAAGTTTTTTAACGTTGTTGAATTTTTGTCACATTTTTTCTTTAAACAAATACTTTAGGCAAAAATCGTGACAGTAAAACTGTTTTTAGTAGAAAATTAATGATGCTTGGAACATGTCGACATTACCATAATCAGAAATTCCTTTTAAACATATTTCTGTTATAGCTACGTAACAAATCGTCCATCCATATGGTCTGAAAACTTAATAGCGTATTTGAAAAACTGTTATTTGTTACCATACCATTAGAGAAGGCACAAAAACATTAATTACTGGTCTAGTTATAACAGACTGTTCGGAAAAAGATATTACTTAAATATTCATTTATTATTTGTAATTATATAATATCTATATATACAGGAAAAGCAGTCTATTCTATAATACATCATTCATCATATAAGTCGTATAGAACATTTTAAAAAATGTTTAAAAATAGATAATAATAATGGCATGAAAATCTCAAATTATCCGCTTTCACAAAAAATCTTGTATGAAATTCGATGCGAAAAGAGTGTTTTAAGCATTCGACGCATTGTCCAACTCGCGGATTTCGCCTCGTTGGACAATTTTGCGTCCCGTGCTTAAAACACATTCATTTTGCAACTTGTTACATATATAGCTATTTACCAAAGACATTATAAAGCTATTTACTCAAGCTACACCATTTAGAAATAATTTTTATCCAATATAAAAATAATAACAAGCATTATAGGGCTTGACCTCGCCAAAATGATCATAGATTGTCACATTGTCATTCTCCAGCCATCTTGACGTCTTTTTTTTCGATCGTATACTAGCATCTGGCTGTTGATGATATTTATAGTGCGAATTATAACAATTATTTTGGAGAACATGTATGCAATTAAGTACTTAGAACATGTTCGTTAAGATCACGTATTTGTTCCATATTTTTATGCGGCACTAACGAACCCAAACTAATTCGGATCTTTAATTATAATAGAAGCCAATTAATGCGTAACTTTTGCCCGCCTTAACAAATTAACACCGCGTGCAATTTACACTTTTTCGTTGGTTTTCGCCCAATTTAACAACCAGAACACAAGATGCGACTGAGTGGCAAAGCGTTAAGACGTGACTCGAAACGAAATTCTTACTTTAATAAGAAGTTTTTAAAGAAATTGCGGTGGTCTCAAGAGATTAAGTATCTAAATTATTATTCTTTAAAACAGTTGATGTTCAAACGTATTCAAGAAGTCGGCTATGATTTCGACCATCCAAAAACCCACAGATATACAATTTCCCTAAGAATTAAAATGACAGGCAAAACTGAATGTCTTGTATGCTCTCGTGGGACAGTCTTTAGCAATATAATATCTGCATAAAATGGGTGGAAAACCATTTAAAATAGAAGATGACACAGTTTGAATCTAAATTTTCCTAAAAATGTCATTTATGACATTGGTCTATGGGTCTCTGAAATATGTGATTCTATCCAATGAGGCAACAATGAGGTAAGATCAAAGAGCTTAACATTTCTGTACCTAGGTATATGAATTTAGATGTGATAACCATATCAATCATCAATTTCTATTATAGCCTACTTAATTCTAATTTTGGCATTGCTAAAATCTATTCTATGTCCTGTGTCCCATGAACGTTGATAAATCCATAGATAAATGAAACAAGTTATAAATCTTTCTCTATAAAATTTCTCACATTCACATGATATTTTGTATATCTCGTATATCTTATTTTGTTGCTCATATTTGGTTAGTTGCTCAATTTTTATGGGCCAAAATTGGTTTAAGTTATACTGCAAAAGTCAGCTTTAACATATTAGTTATTATTAATTGTTACTATTTTTTAGACAACATTTTTATTTATATTTTTACTTATATTGAAGAATTACGCCATTTCGCAAGTCAATTCAAAATTTTTAGAGCAACTCTGTATGCGAAAAAATATACTAAAACATGTTGACTAGTCTAGTTTGTGAGGTTGCAAATTTTTAACAAGATTTAATATTTCTTAAAAAAATATTTTTTTACAGACATTGACAAATTACTTGTCACACAGAGATGATAATCATTATTAGCCAACTAAGAAAAATTTGGTAATCTATATTAATAATAAAATTGCTTGCTTTCTTTATAAAAGAAACTTTAACTAATAATATTCATTTTTATTGATACCTACTTAAAATTGTTTAAAACACTTATTTCATCACAAAATGGTGAACGCGCCCTACTTTACATCTGTTTTTAAACTGCTGCAGGTAATTCAAATTCTTTATTGGACTTGACAGTTAAAAAAAATCTAAAAAAAAATCTCACACCTTATTCAAAGTCTCACACGAATTATTTATCTGTCATCAAACAAAGCACACTTCATCAGAAAATTTTTTTCTGATGAAGAAAAAAAAACAAAGTTACCTTGAAAGTTGACTTCTGTTAATGCCATGTTTTGTCGATCATATGCCATACTAAAATTAAAAAAATGTAAAATGTGAGTTCAATATGAACTCAATAAAACTACAATATTAAAAAATTATTCAATTTTTTTTAATTTACAAAAATATGTAGGTCCATAATTTTGTTTCATAGAAGGTAAAACCAGATGTCCTAATTTAACTGTATCTCTTTTAGCAATATTATAAACATTCCTTCCTTGCAGTAAGGCTATAGATAAGTCCCTAGAATATAAACAAATTAATAAAACAACACATAAATCAAAAAGATAATTTACTTCACTACAATATTAAACTTTGTTTCCTCCCAAATTCTTCTCAGTGCCATAGATACAACACCATCATTCTGTATAGGGCTTAGAGAACAAGTGGAATATACAACTACTCCTCCAGGTTTAACAATTCTTAGAGCATTAAACAATAATTCCGCTTGCAATTCGGGCAGTTTCAACCTTTCTTTTATTCTGGAAGGTTTGAATATATTATTGTCGTTTTCTTTCAAAGAATGTCTATCTGTTGTACAAGGAACATCCACAAGAATCCTATCATAATACAGGTCTTCTATAAAGCGAGCATCAGAATTTTGGAGTCTTATTTTTTCTGTGTCTAGCCATTTTTCATTAAAGTCGTATAAAAACTGGTTAAAAACACTCTGAATCCTGTTAACTCTGGAGTTTGATAGATCATTTGATACCACTAATTCAGGATACAATGTTTGTATAGCTAGTAGGCTTTTACCACCCGGTGCGGCACACATATCTAATACTTTAGAACCGGGTTTAAGATCCAAAGCTAAAACCGGTAGTATTGAACCACCATCCATTAGATAATAATTTGACACACCGGTTGAACTTTTTTTCACTGGTTCAAAATCGTTATAGTTATCCATTTCATAGCAATATACATTAAGGTTGTCTGGAAAATTTAGATTATAGTCTTTTTCTATCTTAACTTGTGAAGAAGCAGTGCTATCGAACATTTGGTAATAAGTCGATTCAGGAATAAAGTCTTCTTTACCTTTTATTTTAGTGGCTGGCACGAATTCATTAAGAATCTCTGTAGATAAGGCGTTTTTTGAATCTACTATTCTTAAGTGATCTAACTCTGCATGCTCTAATGAAGCTTCTAATGAATAATTTTTCGTATTTTCAATTTTTTCACTTGGTTTCTCCTCTGTCTTTTTCGATTGCCTTGCCTGTTTTTCCAGTTGCTTATCAAGATTCATTATTTGTTTTAATAATTGCTTGTTTGAATTTTCCCGTAATTCTTCCTTCATATAGTCCTTTTCAAGATTAAATAACGTCCTCATATTTAGAGCTCCACTAAGTTCAAGTTTGGACATGGTTTCCTCGCAATCTCCGAAATTATTAATAACAGCAACATATTTTGGCTTTGCTAGCAAACCCTCCCTTATCGAAGGCCATTGTTTTTTAAAAACTTGCTTATAAAAATCGTCGAAGTGGTCTAAAGCTTTATCAATGGGGTGAACTTTTTTACGCACAACCGACTAAAAAAGGTAAAATTTAAGATAATTATTTATTTATAAATGATAATGAGT